CTTGTGTGCCGAACTTGTCCCTTAATTGTGGGTGGGCGTGTGCGTGTGCATGTGTGTGCGCGTGCCGGTGTGCTTGTGGGTGGGCGTGTGCGTGTGAGTGTGCGGGTGGGCGTGCGCGTGTGAGTGTGAGTGTGAGTGTGAGTGTGAGTGAGGGAGTGAGTGAGTGAGTGAGTGAGTGAGTGTGTGTGTGTGTGTGTGTCTGTGTGTGTGTGTGGGCGTGTGTGTGTGTGTGGGTGGGTGTGTTTGTCGTGGTGTGTGTGTGTGTGTTTTTGGTGTGCGTGTGTGTGTGTGTCTCTGTGTGTGTGTGTGCGTGTTTGTGTTTGTGTTTGTGTGTGTGTGTGCGTGTGCGTGTGTTTGTGTTTGTGTGTGTGTGTGTGTCTGTGTGTGTGTGTGTCTGTCTGTCTGTCTGTCTGTGTGTGTGTTTGTGGTTGTTTGTGTTTGTTTGTGTGGGTTTCTGTGTTTGTGTTTGTGTTTGTTTGTGTTTGCGTGTGTGTGTGTGTGTCTTCGGCGAGGTTTTGTAGACATATCCAACTAACAGGTTGTGGTGCTGCTGTGCTTGAAGCTGGGCTTGAGGAACGGGCTTTCTTCGTGCAGCTTGCAAGCTTGAATCTTGGGGCGTCGGCCGGAGGGTTTGAAATGTTCATTGTGGATATGAGCTCAAGGCTTGTGATCACTCCATGGTTCAAAGAGCAGGTTAAAGAGAATGCCAGTCGTGCCCGGCTGTGCGACGCACGACATACTTCTGTACGAAGGACGAACACCCAGGCGGTTATAATGTGGTTTTCTTGCTGCTGGTCTACTTGGCATGCTTATACACGATTCGAATTCCTGAGCCCTCGACCCGACATGAACCTATTTGCCCAGAAACCATGAACCCCTGAGCCCCTAAACCTATTTTGGCTCAAGGGCTCAAACACAGTCTCCGGCGGTGTTCACTTACCCCATCTGCAGGAGCATCCGGGGGGGCATTGTGGTCGGGGGCGTCGTGTCAATTGACTTTAAATTGGAGTTCCGGGATCTTGTCGATGGGGTGGTTGGGGGGGGGGGGGCAATTCACAGTTCACCAGGTCTCCCCACGATCGATGGAACAAAGCCCTGGACCCTAAACACTAAACTCAGTAATAAACCCTAAAGCCCTAAACCCGGGTCCCTAACCTCAAGACCTCCTAATCGCTATAACTTTGGATCCGCACTCTCGAAAAACCATCTTGGTCTCGTCGTTGGCTGGTGCTTGACCTTGTCGGTCTTGGCTCTATCTCTCGTGGGCGCTTCCTCCAGTTATGACGGATGAGAGCACGATTCCTTGCGGGGTGGCCTCTCCGCATGGTCCCAGAGAAGAGGGGGGGGAGATTTGGGGGAGCATATCGGGGAGACGGCGATGCTTGATGCACCCTTGCCCAACCCGGTGTTGCAGGACACAGCTCTTGACGCCCGCAGTGACGAAAGTCGTAGAGGGAGAACTAGGGAAAGGACTGCTAGAGGCAACTTTGAGGCAAACAGGTTCCCCCTCCGTGCTCATGTTCCGGACCCCACGGACCTTGCTTCTGCTGCTGCTGCTGCTGAGGCCCTTGCTGCAGCTACTGCCCAGGCTCATCAAGACCTAAGTGTTGATGATTTGAGAACCAAAGAAGGTGCAAGTCCTGAAAAGAAAGCCAAGCTCTCTGCCACGACTAAAATGCCCCCTGCCCCGGTCTTCGGAGGATTGCCTGCTGCCAGCTCAGGTCACCACCCCCCGCTGTTCCACGGCCCCCCTGGAGGGCCTCTAACCTCAGAACCTCCGCCAGTACCTGCCACTGATCCCCCTCCAACTAAGGGGCCTGAGTTCTTTCAGTTGGAGCCTGAGCCTTCCTGGCTGGAAGGGTTGCGTGCCGATCTTAAGGATATTGCTGGAGCCCAGCGGCAGATGGCCAAGGACATGTCCACAACCAGTCACGAGCTTAGGGCCATCCAGGACGGGGTTCGTAATCTCAGTGTGGGACAGGAGTCCCTCACCAGAAGAGCAGACGAGCAAGAAGCTGCGTTACAACAGATGCGTCGAGAATTCCAGGACCTTGAACGAGAAGTGCAAACCCTCCGTAGTGCCCCCCCTACTCGGGGACCCAGCCCTGTGTCTACTCCCCGAGGCGCAGTCAACCAGGCGCCCTCACTCGCCTCGATTTGCACCACGGGAAGTCGACGAGCTCCAGATTGTCATCGGTGGCTGGCAGGAGGCCAAGCGTCAGGAAATCGAAGAAGATGTACATGAGATCTTTCAGGCGCTCCAGGCCCTTCCGCTGTTGAAACAGGTGTATGTGCCCTATGTGCGCAGTGGCTTTTGTAGGGTAGAACTGGTCTATCCTGAGCAAGATGTGTGGAAGCAGCGTAAACTGCAAGGGACAGTGCTCGAGCACATTAA